CAATATGGGTTTCATTCAAGGGCAGTCCTCGGCAGCCTCTTGGTCAGCAATTGGCGTATCTCTGTTTACAGCCATCCAGGGTCACAGCAGCCAGCATATCCGGGCCTTCTGTCAAGGCTACAAAGACTCTGCTGATTTTACTGCTCTGTGTGCCCTGTGTGCTCCAAGCAAGCAAAAATGGATGTTACGGGGGGGGGGAAACAGAGACATATGAGGACGGGGCAGATGTGCCTGATGGAATGGGAGAGGCTAGGGGTCAGCCAGGGCTGCATGGGAGAAACTCTAACAATCCTCTCCAATAAAACCTGTTCCATACACTTCCCATTCATACCCAACACCCTTCCAACTTCACACCCAGACTCTTTCTCAGAAATTTACTTTCCTCTCCCTCCGCTCATCCATTTCCCCTGACTCTCCCAAACCTTTGCATTGCTTCTGATGTGTATGGGAAATATGGTTCTGTATTGTAGTTTAAATGAATTATTACTCAGAGTTAATATGCCACATTTCCTGAATTTTTGTTGTTGTCTATATTGTTACAGAAATACTTGCTGACAGGTATTTTGAAATGAATGGTCAAAAATAATTGAAACTGGCGTGATTGTATCTTTATTTTTGACATATGAAAATTTTACAGAATTTTAGAATATTGTGCACAGAATCTTTCTTTTTTGGTATAGAATATCCAATAGTCTATCCCTGGTGGAAAAGATGTGAAAGTTGAGAACTTTAATATCCACCAGGGATAGACTATTGGATAAAGATGTGAAAGTTGAGAACTTTAATAAAGAAAAATTTCTAGTACGTGTGCCTTTATTATTTTATGTAAAAAAAAAAGTGCACTTAGCTTCAGTAGCTTCTCTTAGGGTACGTCTACTCTACAGAGGAGATTGAAGCTGCTGCTGATGATCTTTCTGGGTTCAAATAAGCTAGTTTAGTGAGGACATGCTAATTTGAACTGAGAGGGCCACAGTTGTCGATGCCAGTAGTCCTGCTTTTACGAGGAGTAAGGCAAGTCGAAGGGAGAGTGTTCTCTCTCCAACTTCCTGCAGCACCAAAAGTCACATTAACTTCCTTTGACTTAAGTTAAGCAATTAACATAGCTGAAGTTTGCATCCTAATTCGACCTTGTCCCGTAGTGTAGACATACCCTTAGAAGTTAATTGGCTTTCCCATGGCAAAATCTCAAATTGCTTATTTGAGCTAAGAGGATGCTAGCATGCCCCCTGTCCCCTTTTAATGAATGTGGCTCCTCCACCACTGAATACTTCACCTGGTGGGGGGGAACAACTGCCATGGGGCCCAGTAATTTTAAAGGGCCCAGGGTTCCCAGCTGCTGCTGTTGTGCCAGTGATGGCACCTGGACCCCAGGTCCTTTAAATTGATGGTGTAGCACTGCATGGTGCATTCTGGGAGGCTCTAAAGCAGCCGTAGTCAACCCATGGCTCACGAGCCACATGTGGCTCTTGCTCCCCAAAAGTGCGGCTTGCGAAGCTTCTCCTGCATGTTCCCCCCCGCCCCCAAACAGCCCTCTTCAGTTCTTCCCCCACTCGCCAGCTTCCCAGTGCTTACCGGGTCAGAGCTGCAGGGTTTTAAAAATGGCGCCCAAGGTGGCGGCCATCTTAAAGGGGCACCCTCCTTTTTAAAAACCATTTGTTTTTAATGTTTCTGCTCAACAATTCTGTTCTGGGGTGCTCGCTGCTTTTTTTTTTTTTTTTTTTTTTTTTTTGCTGAAACCATCTGGCAACCCTACTAGTGTGTGCCTTCCGCCCCCCCAATAAGGTTCCCCACCCCCCACCCCTTCTCTAAAGGCTGGGGTGAGCAGTGTGATGCATTCCAGGTGGCACTGAGGACTGGCTGCCTTGGCCCGGCCCCTTCCCGGAGAGTGGAGCTGCCCCCCCCCATCTTGCCCAGTGGCCCAGCGTGGCTGTCAGCTCCTCGACTCCCAGTGCTTTGTTTTAAGGCTAGAACACTGAAATCTTCATTGACTACTTGTTGATTCTAAATTATGCACCAAACATTTTTCTAACTCCTGGATGTCTGTGGAGGAGAAATACCCAGAACTTTCAGTGAAGCCTTGAGAGTACTTGTGCCTTTTGTGGTGCCATATTCTCTGTGAATCAGTTTTTTCTGCTTTGACTTACTTTATTTTTAAACTCATTGCTGTTAAAACACTTTCTGCTCTCACCTCATTGGAGATGACCTCTGCTCTTGCCTAGCCAACACTGACTATCCAACATCTTTACTTATTAAAGCAGGCACAGCACTTAATTTTTTTTGAACGTTTCTGATACTTATGCAATGTAAATTAATAAGTTATCTTGTGTCAAAAGACTTTAACTAATTTTCAGATAGTTTTATTTGATTATTAGCTCTTGTTAACTGCTTTCTGGTGATTAAGTCTTAGAAGGCATACAGGAGATATGAACTTACAATATGAATTTCACAATTTGCTGCATGTTTGTGGGGACTCTTGTACATTTCAAAGCTGGCACGCCACATGCAGCCCCGGGGCCAGTGGAAAGTCCTGCTGACTCCGGGCTCCACATGGGTGCTTCTGCTTTGAAATGCACAAGAGCCCCTACTGGGGCTCTTGTACATTTCAGAGGAAGAATGCGGAAGTGCCTATCAACTAGTTGATTCCATCGTCTACTTGACTAGTAAATTAATCGATATTTAACATCCTTAGTTTCAAAGGAATTGTTTAAATCCAGTCCAAAATCTGTAGTAATTATGAAGGACAAGCAGGAAAGAATTCAACTTAATGTTCATGTTCCAGGTTGAGTAGGTAGTCGTGTATTCTAGATGTCCTTGAGTCTGAGAAAGGAAGTGCCAAATTGCTGTAGTAATCAAGATAATGCAATTATAATGTATTATAACATTATGCGGTTCTCTTCTTTTACACTTACACAAAACATTATTTCATCACCCATTCTCCCAAAGTGCTTTTCATCCATAGAGTGCAAAGGAGGGTAGATACATTTCAAGTTACAAAAACTCAGAGCTGTAGCTAAGCGTTTTAGCACCCTCTAGAAAGAACAACAGTGTCGTTGGATTCTATTCAACGGTGTTAAGCCCATTGCTATGGGAAGAAGAGCCTGATGCTGCTGACCCTAATTGCTCCATTTTTGTGTCCCTGTCAGCCCTATGTCCTGGGCAACTGCTCTTCTCGCTCCAGCCTAGTTATGGCCCTGGAAAAAATAAAGCGTAAGAGGTCACTTCAGAGTCTCTCTGCGCTTTGAGATCTTCAAATTTATCATTTTGAAATGTGTGCTTAAGTGAAATTCTATAGTTGATTTGCTCGCATAGGCCTTTGAACATGCATTTTAAAAACTTTTTCTAATCACTCCTTGCCTACTACTGTGTAAAAGTGGGTGGGGCAGCAATAGAACCTGCTATTTCAGCTCTTAGTCTAGTAGAGGTCAAGAAATGATTGCATTTGTCATTAATATGAAAGAGGAAATCTTGCCAAAGATGGTGGTTATGATACTGCACAAAAATATAAGCTTTCTTGGTCTTGACATCCAGCGCCCCCGTCACCTGAAGAAGTGGGCTGTGCCAACGAAAGCTCATGATACCATCTATGTGTTTTGTTAGTATTTAAAGTGCTACCAGACTATTTGTTGTTTTTAAAGAAAATAAGGTTCTTCCACTTAGTTTTATGAACAATGGTAATAAACAAACTTTGGTTTGTTAGATTCTCATATGAAATGAAAGTTTTTGGTGGATGGAAATCATATTTAAAGAGACAAAATGTCATTTGAAAAAAGATGATATTTAAAAATCTATTCTACTTTAGGATAGGGATGTGAGAGTATTAGCTTATCGGTTAGTGGTGTCAATTATACTCAGCCATATCCCGGAGCTGCAGCAGGGCAGTGAGGTGTCTTGCCCTAGGAGCCAGGCAGGCAAAGGCTGCCTGCTCTGCTGGTGGGGAGAAGGCTTCACTTTGGTAGGGTAGGGAAGCCTTCTCCCTGGGAGCTGGGCAGGCAAGGGCTGCCAGCTCCACTCCCAAGGAAGAGGCTTCTCTGCAGCAGGGAAGCCATTTCCCCAGGAGCTGGCCTGGCAGCGGCTGGTGGCCCAGCTCCTGGGGAGGCTTTGCATCTTACTTAAGCTTTATACTGCAGAGCCCGCAGTGTGTAGTTGTGTAACAGCTGAGATTTTCAGTGCTTACACGATTACCTATTCAACTGACTTTTAACATCCCTAATTTAGGACTGATATAGGCTGTCTAGAGGAAAAAAACCTCTGTTTGAAGAGTTATCATATGTTACGATAAAATACTAATGGCCCCATCTACACTAAGGCTTTGAAGCCTGTTGATTTAAAACATGGTTTTTTGAATAGAAAGTATTTATTTTTCTAGACTAGACAAGGTCTTAGAAGAAAAAAGATTCTGGGAATACTTAAATGGAAGGTCACATTGCTTCTTGGCACAGGGGAGCCAGTATTCTCAAGGTACCCTTTGATTCTAATAAAATACCTCTGTAATATAGATAGTGTTTTGCCACTTGGCCATGGCAAATTTGAAAGCTTGCCCTGGACCATGTGGGGACTTACACCATCAATTTCTGCAACATTTAAGTTCTCATTGGAAAAAAATGCACCTTGCTCTGCTCCTGGCTCTGGCTACTGGTCCTACATCCTGGGTCCCAGCTACAGCCCTGGACCTGGGGCTCTGCTCACGGCCCCGGATGCTGGCTCTGCACCAAGGGGCCCAACTGCTGACCCCCAGCTATGGCCCCCGCATTGTCCCCTTTATTCCTGTCCATGTGTCTCTGACCCCTGCAGGTGATGGGAGGGGTGAGAGGTAAAAGAGGGGACCACTGCTCAAACTAATATATTTAGTGTTTGAGCTAGTAGGTATCTGGTTTATTATCTAAGCCCTGATACAGTATAAGCTAGTATTCTTTATGGAACTACTATGCCATAGTTCTGATGTTGGGGTGAAAATAATCCATTTCATTTTTTATGTAAAAAGAGTAATGTTCTTATAGGATTGTTATTTCTGTCTTATCCTGTCAGGTGTAAGAAATTGTCTGTCTCTTACTGGAATTCCTATTGGATGCTGCCCTCTGATGTTTGTGGAATGAACTGCTTTTGGGAAGCTGCTTTTAGGTAGGCTCCAATAAACATATTACTCAGTTGCAGACAGGTGCAGCCAGTATCATTTCTTATATGACAAACTGGGAAGTTAAGCACACTTGAAATTTACTTCAGATAAATTTTTTTTGTTCTCATAGTACAATTGTCTTAAACTGGACATTGCATGCCCTTTTAATGACACTTTTCATTATCAAGTAACCTAAGAAATTAAATATGAAGAAGAAATTCAGAGAATATTTAATATTTTGTATTTAATGCATTATTTCTTTTTGTTTTATTACTACTTAGGAATTATTAACTGGCTTACAAGTCCTTGCCATGTAAATATAAAAGGCAATAGAATAATTGTTATAGCAGTGAGCTTTTGTTTCAAGAGACATTATGTTGAAATGTACTCACTAGATCTCTCTATTTAACAGGGTATTACTATTTTATAGAACGAGACTCATTTCAACGTGGACATGTCTAGTGATTTTATCAAATTTAAGTGAAATCTCTACTCATAAATAGCAGACCAGGCTTGTCTATTAAATGCTAATATTCAACATTTATTTTCTGCCTAAGACATTTACCACAAGTGAGAAAATCTTCTAACCTAACATCATGAAAAGCTATTTGTGGGTCACCATTTTTAACAAATAGATAAAATTGGTTGCAGTGAGTTGTAAACCTGCAGATTAATACAGTATAGGTAGAACAAGAGTATATTTTGCAGTTTCTCATTTCTAATGCTCAGATTTTTTTATTTGAAACAGGGAGTTCCTTATTAACATTTTTCTAGGATTTCATGACTAGCTGAGAGCACTAGTTAAACAACCAGACCCTCCTCAATTCTTTTTCAACTGTCCTTGACCTGAGAGAGCTCCCAGCAGTGTTTAAGTCTGATAGTTATACTTAGTGAAAGTAGTCTTTAGTACCTTAGTTAGGGTTACTTCTCCATTTCTCCCTGTATGTTTTTTCTGTTTACTCCATTTGAATACCCCTTAGCTTAGTGCTACCATTAGGGCTGAAGTGCTATAACTTGAGCTATACCCGGTTCACTGGGCTCAAAGAGCCACCTTCTCTGCTGAAAGGCAGTCCTGTTCTTTGACGTTCACTGTGTATATCTGGTGCTTAAGGGAGACTAAAGTCCCTCAAAAGTGCTCTCAATGCACCAGCCTATAGCCTCACACCAGAAAGGAATGAGGTTTAACTGTTAATTCGAACTAAGGGGTTTCTCTCAGAATCGTGCTTCTTTGTCACGTGTATACACGGGCAGTTACTTCGGGCTAGTCAGTTTCCAAAATGGCGACCTGCTGGGAATATGCTAATCAAGCACGGGATATTTAAATCCTGCTCTTCATTAGCAATTTTGGTTGCCCTCATTAGCCTCCCTAGTTGGAACTAGGGGGCTAGGTTAGACGTACCCTCAGTGGTTCCCCCCTGCAGGCTTTTGGGGGAAGGGTGGGCTCCTGGGGCTAACTCAACCTCCAGCAGCCACTCCTGTGGCCTTGAGGCTGTTGGGTGGAGCCAGGCTCAGGGGGCAGCCCTGCCCTCCAACAGTTCCTCTCCCCCCTGCAGACTGTCTGAAAGGGGGAGTGAGAATCCAGGGGCTGCCCCTTCTCCTGTGGCCCATCCCCCACAGCCTACAGGCTCTCCATAGGGTGTGGTCAGGCTCTGGGTTAGGGGCAGGGGGACTACTCACCCAGTCTGGTGGCAGGCAAGATGGTGGACTCCCAGCCTTGCTGGCCATTCCTCAGTATCACGTTCCTTCTCTCTCTGCCCCCTCCCTTTCCATGTAATGGAAAACAGTCCCATTTCTGGCACTTCCGTTTTCCTGACACAACCAAACCGTGACCTTGGTTTAAGTTAGGGTAAGAGGAAGCTGCATACCAAAGTTGGTGCTTCTAGATCTTACAGGTTAGGAGGAGTTCTTGAACCAAACAGATTCATGTGTAACATTTTATTTCATTTTATAGTGTTTGGAACTGTACATATGAATGAGTTTTGGCCTGACTGTAAAAAGTTAACGTATTTGCAAAGCAGCTTTTTATAACTTGAAGGTAACTTTGCGTGTAACTCTTTATTCCAGTTTATGGCATTAAGATATATTTAAATTAAAGATTATGCACATATTTATCTTTTTCATAATTTATTTTGGAAGATTGTTGAGAATGGATAATATTGTAGACAGATTCTTGGCAAACCTTTCCACTGTGGGAAGATTTTTCATAGGTGGTAAATTCTCATTTACATATTATCTTAATTTGAAAGATTGTGCTATTTAATGCATTCATACAGTGTTAGGTTTGATAGTCACATGTGAACAGTTCAAGGTAAGAATGTTATTAAATGGTTTCCAAAGTAGATCAACCATGATAACACATCAACGTCTTGCTTAAACACAAGGATTCAAGGGAACACAGGTTTGTTGTGTGCTCTGTGCTGATACCAAGCTAACTTTATTTTAGCATATTGTACTAATACAGAAATGGCTTCTGTACAGAACTTGTATATTTCACAAGGCACTTCTACCATTGCCCCAGACAAATGACCAAGAATAGAGGTCACAGTTGTCTTAAAAGCAACATTAGTATGCACAGAAGTTGACTATAAATTCAATAATTTTTTTATGTTTAGACTTCATCTAGAGCAGAGGTTCCTAACCTGTTGTTGGACTGTTAATGGTCTGCTTGTGATTTGGACAGCTGCCTCATCATGTTGTGTTTTCCTCTGTATTTATTGCTGACAAACTTCATTAAAATAATTCAATTTATATATCTAAAATATTTCTAATGCTATTTTCCAATGTATGTAAGTTCTGTAGCTGTTACTGGTCATCATATGCTTAGGTGGAGGGGGAGGGGAGGATGGATAGGAGGTGGTGCTAGGGAAGAAACCTGACACTTTCGATGGTGAGTGGGAGCAGGCTCCAAACTGGGAAGGGGCATTCTGGCAGTTCCTATTTCTATTCTTCAGCAGCTGGTACTTGTGTCCTGTGCTCTCCAGAGGTTAGTGCACATGCTCTTGACCCTCTGGCTGGCTCTGTGTCTCTGCCAGAACCCACAATTGCTGGAAGACAGGAAGAGGAGATCTATTTCTACCTTCCCCCCAGAAGTCTAGCCATATCTCGTGTGTTATGGGAGCTGCTTCAGTCCCTTCTCCAGGTCCTGCACTGGCTTCTGCAAAATATTGTAGTGCAAGAAATATACATCAAATGTTTCCATTATGGGAACATTTGTCATATCCCTCCAGTTTTGCTGTCCCTGGTTATGAGATCACATTGAGAAGGGACTAGGTCTGTATAAAGTGATGGTGGCATGGGGCGCTCAGTCCTGAATGGAAGGGGAAATGTTTAGACATAGACTTCTAAAGCTACATTCCTTTTCTGAAATGTGGATTTACAAATCTCGCACTTCATTTGCATAATTGCATGAAAGCACTTTTTAGAAAAAGGATTTCTCAAAAAAGAAACTGCAGTCTAGATGGTTTTGAAAGAACCTGTACACCTCAACAAAGTGCAGGCACATGGAATCAGTAGTTTGGTTCTCTTCACGGGGTCTCTAATTAATCATTTCTCACCTCTGCTCACAATTTAATGTTGCATCCTGTGCTCTATTGGTTAGCTAGTAAGATTAGGTTCTAAGGCAGGGATGGGCAATAATTTTTGCCTGGGGGTCACTTCAAAAACTTTTGAAGTAACCCCAGGCCATCCTGGAAGGGCGGGGCTACCCCAGCCCCATACCCTTATTGGTCTGGGGGTGGGAGAAGCCCCTTTGCCCTCCCTTCCCACTAGGCACCCATGCTCTATAAGAGGCTTTGCACGCTTCCCCACCCCCAGGCCAATCAGGGTCTGGGGGGCGGGGGAGCATGTGAAGCCTCCTCCTGCCCTGCGAGGTGCCATGGGCTCCTCGCAGGACCGGGGCAGGGCAAAGGAAGCTTCATGCAGCTCCTCCATCCCCAGGCCCTGATTGGCCCAGGTGCGGGGAAGCGTGCGAACCCTCCTCCACTCTCCCCCCTGGCCCTGCGAGCCGCGCGCAGCACTTCAAAGTGCCACATGCTCCTGGCAGGGTGGGAGGAGGCTTCACGCGCTCCTGTGCCTCCAGGCCAATTAAGGCCTGGGGCAGGAGAGTGCGCAAAGCCTTCTACACACTGCCCCCACTCTGTGAGCAGCGCTTTGAATTGCCGCACGCTGCTCGCAGGGCAGGGACAGAGCGGAGAAGGCTTCGGGCACTCCCCGTCCTCCAGGCCCTAATTGGCTTTGGGGTGGGGGAGCAGCAGGACCTCTGTGGGCCAGATCCACCTGCTTGCGGAGGCCCTTTTGCCCATCCTATTCTAAAGTATTCCTAGTCAGAGGTTTAAAATTAAAAAAAAAAAAAAAAGTTCTTTGGACAAATAATTATTTGTGAATGATTAACATTTATCACTGAGCAGAGTTTTGGCTTTTTCTGTGTTACCATGAAACTTTGTTGGAGGGGAAATAAGAACTTAACTTTGAATTAATGTTTCTGGATTAGGCATTTGCAACAGAGTGCACTCGCCTATCACGAGCACCCCCGGCTGAATGCATGTGCCTGCACTTTGTTGCTGTTTGTGGAGAATGGCCACGCTCGCTGCCTCATTGCTCTCCTGGAGCCGCTGATGCCGCTCCTGCCGGCACCGCTTCGTCCCCGGGTGCTGCAGGGTCAGATAAAGCGGAATGTCAGATTACCAAAGGTCGGATAATCCGGACTCTACTGTACTATATAAAAGCTTAATATATAAATGGGAGGCCGCTGATGTTGCTCCTGCCAGTGCCGCTTTGTCCCCGGGAGCTACAGGGTCAGATAAAGCGGAGTATCAGATTACCGAAGGTCGGATAATCCGGACTCCACTGTACCTCCCTTTTACCACCCATAATTCATATGCCTCCACTTTGTTCTTAAACAGCATTCAGCCTTAACTTTTGGTTAGAAATAAAATACATGAGTGTGTTTGCTTATATGGATTTGAATTATATAATTTCTTCGTAAAAAATCACTATCAAATTCAGTAAGTCTCTTACAATGGATCACCCAGTCACAAAACTTTTTTTAAGGATAGTAGGAAAAACATCTCACAGCCACTAGTTGCAATACAACACATCTTTCTTATATTAGTACAAAACCAGATGAAGAAGTATGCTGAAAGTCTTCCACTAGTCCTCTATTATGGGAGCACTTGTGGCTCCATAGTTAAGGTTGGGTTGAGTGAGGGCTTTTTTGCATTTAATGCAAGGATTCAACTATTTAACTATTTATGAGAAATAGTTGTATTTTTCCTGAAACTGTGCCACTTTTTGACCAGACAGTGAATTTTCTGAGATTTTGTAGTTGAATTCATTTCAATTTACTTAAACAACAAATGGCAGGTAGCACTTTATAGACTTAACAAAACATGTAGATGGTAACATGAATTTTCATGGGCACAGCCCACTTCTTTAGATGACCTGAGTTTTGAGTTTAGGATGTATGGGTCTGCAAATCTACTAAGATGGGAAAGGTAACTGTTAAGTGTAGAGCCAGGTTTGCATTTTTATTTGTGTTTTGTATTGCAGCCATTTGTTTCTACCACACTCTCTTTTTCTAGTTAAATTTCTGTGTGGCTTACTGGCACAGAGGTTTAAAGTAAAGTTGGTAAACTGGATACAATACATCTTTGGGTGCAGAAAATCTGGAATCTCTGATGTTGCATTGGAATTCAAAGTAATTTGGAGATGCGGGTGCATCCTTTTGTTAGCCTGCAAGATGAAGAAAAGGCTGGCAGGCTTAAGGAAGAGCTCTTGAAGGGCTGACAGATCAGGGAGCTGTCACCTCGTTACCATGAGAGAGAGACTCCTCATTAGAGGCAGGGGGTAGCAAGGTGACTCTCAGTAATGGATACTCCAAGAACCATCACACAAAGGCTGAATAATGTTCTTCAGAACTCTATAAAACTATCCTGTAGTGAAATAAGATGGTGGTGGTAAAATATAATTTGTCATTGAATTGATTTATTTGGCACCATACACACAATTTATGGATTAATCAAATGGTTATTGCACTGCATCACTACATAATGTTGATACAGTTGTTTGGGTTCCTTAAGGTAATCCAGACACATTAAAATAAGTTCAACCTTAACTCTAAATTTTGTTCTTGGTGGGATAACTACAACATCCATGGATGATGAAAGGGGAGGAAGCTGAAGTTGAGAGAGAGGAATAGGTGGACTGTTGGACTACGTAACTTGAAGCACAGCAGATTTTTTTTCTATATTACTTTCCAGTTTATGTAAAGAAGTATATATCCACTATGAATCTTCTTTATTATCAACCTCTGCCCCTACTTCTCCCCCCCAAATCCAAGACCGGACAACTCTGCTTCTCCTCCAGGTCTTTGGAGAGATGCACTCTTTTCCTCCATGTCCCCTACTACTTTGCCACATTCAAGTTATAAACTCTTCTATGTATTAATACTTAACAGTTGAATGGTATCGGGAAGCAAGGAGAAGAGTAAGGATTTGGATGGAGGGAAACACATTGAGAAACAGGGCTGTAGAGCCATAGGTTCAACATGGAGGCAAGTTGGGTATAGGAGTGGAGGCAAGTGTATAGATGGGCCATAGGAGCTGTTCAGTAGGCTGTGGAGTGCCGATTGGAAGTGGGGAGAGCTAGAGCTGGAAGAGATCTGATTGAAGAGGATCTGTGCTCTGAACCAATTGTGGCCAGTTGGTCTCTCTGCTTCTACCAGTTCTTTCCTGCAGGATTACTTGAGTTCAGGTCTCTTCCCCTTATAATTCTGCTTCCCTTGAATTTCACCCAAGCGTGCTCTGTTGGTGCAGTTTCATGTCATGGAATTTTCTCTGATGTAGATGCCCCTTTTTTTTCTTAGGAAATACTATCTTTAGGCATTTCCTAAATTACCAGGTCAGGAAATGCCAATGTTAATTCTGTTCATGTGTGTGTGAGAGTGAAATAAATATATATAAATATATAAATGTTATGGTTTATTATGTGCTTGTTTTTCTGTTAGACTCTTGTTTAATCCAGCACACAGTGAATGAAGCCATTGTGCAGCATTTATTTCAAAGTAATTTACTAGAACAGAAAAAAGCTGCACCCAGTATAACTGCTTAAGTCATTCAGCAATTATCCTCTGTGCAAAATTAATGTTTTAACATTATTTATAAACACACTCAGTCTTTGGAACCCTGCCTCATTTACTGCACATTATCCAGCCTCTGCATTGTATTAGGTAGGATCCTGTGAGAGGATTATAATGAGCATATAACTAAAAACTCTGTTGTAGAATACACACATAAGATTTAAGGTTATGCACTCAACTTTAATTTTTGACTTCACAATGCTTTTAACTCTGTAATCATATTCTCTTAATGTAATTATTTTGATGGAATTACTCAGTGGATGAATTTATAATAGGATGATAAATTTGTTTGTAAAGTTTCCAAGAAGGTGGATATTTCCTTTTTTGAGTGTTGCTAACACTTTTTATCTGTATAACTCTGTAATTTTGTGAATGTCAAGTGAAGTCAAACTTAACTATAATCTAGACAAAATGTAACTTAGTCCTATTTTTTCTGTCCTGTTTCAAAGTATCATTTATTAAATAAAATCCATTTTTACTTCCTAACTTCAGTTTAGAGCAGGGATATTTTGTTAATGAGATTATCCGCATAAAATGACACAACTTTTTATATCTGTTCTTGCTAAATGCTGATTCATTTTTTTTTACCATTTTTAATTAGATATGATTTTATGAAAACTCATCTTGCTGAGAAGATGCATCTAGCAGTGGTTGCCTGTGGTGAAAGGCTAGAGGAGACTGTTACTATGTTGAAATCAGCCATTATTTTCAGCATCCAGCCTTTACAGTTTCATATTTTTGCAGAGGACAAACTGCACAACAGCTTCAAAGGCATAGTAAGTATCCAAGTCACTTAGGCTATGTCTAGACTGCAGGCTTCTTTCGAAAGAGGCAGTTAAACCTTTCTCCCAAAGTCCAGTTCCTCTCTGGGGCCTACACTTTATTCCTGTATGGATGTCCTTCACAGGTCTCCTGTCAGGCATGTTTGTTTTCCTCAACATTGTTGTAATATTTTCATAGAAACACACAACTTCCTTTAAGATGTCTGTGGTACAGAATTACTGGTCTTTCTAAAACACTTTTCCCTATTCCCTAATTCCTTCCAAGTTTATTTCCCTTAACTCCTCCATGTCTGTCTCTGCCAAGTCTTTTTTTGCTTTGACAGTGTTTGAGATATCTTTAGTGTTGTGTCAATGTTTGTAAGTGTCATAGAGATTCTCAGGGGAGAGGAGCATAGAAGGCTTCAAAAAGGAGGCTTAGATCTCCTAACAGACTCCTCTTCAAAGAGAAACTGGTCACTTCAGAGACTGACTGTTCTGGAAAACTCAGTTCCTAGAGGGAGAGCCATTAAGGCTCCAAACACATCTAGAATTAGGAATTATTAATACTTCTGGTTCTTTGGTGCTAAAATTGACGGCTACGTCTAGACTGGCCCCTTCTTCGGAAGAGGCATGCTAATTTCGAACTTTGGAATAGGGAAATCCGCGGGGGATTTAAATATCCCCCACGGGATTTAAATAAACATGGCCACCGCTTTTTTTCCGGCTTGGGGAAAAGCCAGAAAAGAGCGTCCAGACTGGCACAATCTTCCGGAATAAAGCCCTATTCCGGAGGATCTCTTATTCGTACTTTGAAATAAGCAGGAGCCCCCTGCCACTCAGTGTTGCTGCCATTGTATCAAAAAGCAGCTGCTGTCTCTGTTTAAAAATTGGCTCTCTGTGCAGACTGGTTCTTGCCTGCAACTCCTGTCTGTAGGGGCCTGGGGCCTGAGCTCCCCGCAGATAGAGACCGCTCTGCCATCCCAAGGAGCAGCATCTGACTGCGGCGAACTCGGGCTCACTGCGGACAGAGGCTGCTCCAGCATCCTGAATCCTCTTTTCTCCCATTCCCTTCCCTCCCCCCCGCTGCCTCTGTGGGAGGCAGCAGGAAGGGGACAGGAGGCTCTGTGTGGAGAGCTGGCTTAAAAGCCTTTGCCCCACGTGTACCAGCTTCCACCTGCCCCCTTGTCATCTGTGCTGCTGCCTCTCTATCAGAAACAGCAGTGTGGGGCTGAGGGATGCAGGCGGCTCCAGGGCATCCAGTGCTCCTGGGGAGCAAGCAGTTCATGAATGTTTTTCCACAGATTTGACAGCCCACTCCTCTCTTAGATTTAAATCTCTTCTTTATCTTATGAAGCCATGTCTGTGAAGATGGCTTTCTTGGTGGCTACCAGATGAATGGGGGCTTCAATAGCAGATTCTCTTGTTCCAATATTTTTTTGGGAAAATGTCGTTTTGACCACCCTAAATTTCTACCTATAGTATATTTTGAATTCAGTATTAACCTGGTTATTAATTTTCTGGTTTTTTTTTCTCCCCAAAGCCACACCAGAACAGGGAGAAGGCTTCACTACATACCTTAGATGTCCAGAGAGCATTGTCCTCTCTGGACAAAATCAAACCATTAGAAAGTCTCCCAGACTTTCTTTGAAGACAAATCAAAAGAATACATGGTCTCCACTCAACAACTCTTAAGGTGGATCTCTGGGTGTATTATTTCTTGCTATGAGGCTGCCATCGTTCAGACCCCTTCTAGAGTACCACCACATTCTACAAGGTCCTAGTATACTTCCGAAGCATTACTTAAAATGTTTCTAGGTGTGGAAATTTGCAAAGCTGCAACCCTGGACCTCAGTACAAACTTTCTCCAAATAGTATGCATTCCTGATCAGACGTTGCAATTAAAATGCCATTCTGTCTTTAGTGTTGGATCTGGTTCTGAAGAACCCTTCTCCTTCTCGGGATACTGAAGTGGAGTGCATGTAGCAATGCTGCTTAAAGAAGAAGAGGTTATGCACTTACGCAGTAACAGGAGTTCTTCAAGATGTGTCCCCATATGAGTGCTCCACTACCTAACTTCCTTCTACTCTGCTTTAAGTTTCATCTCATGGGACTTAGAAAAGAGAAGGAACTGAGGGCAGTTCACCCATGCAGCTGTTTATATCTTCAGGACAAGGCAAGAGGGTGTCTGAAGTGCATATGCACAGTCCAAATGGGTACTTCTACCATGAATCTTCAATCTTAGTTGTATGTACATAAGAAGTGAAGCACCACAGCTCAAAGAACTCCAGTTACTGCACAAAGTGAGTAACCCCATCACTGTATAAAATGTATTGACCCAACTGCCAACGTGAGTTCATTTTAAATCAAATCCAGCTTTCTTTCAGTAGCTTATCTTCAGGAGAAAATCTGGACTTGTTCTGTCTGACAAGGCACTCCTACTAGCTCTCAGCATGCCAGTGTCTTTGCAGATTGGAATGACAGTAGTGGGGAAAACAATCAATTGGGTTATGTCCCTTCTTGACAAATGCCAGCTGTTGAATAGAAAATTATGACTAGATTGACAGTCTGAGGCAGGAATTGGGTTAATTGATGCAAAATTATGGTGTCTGGTTATTTTTACATTAAAAGTGCAAATTACCTAGGGTTGTTCGGTGGTAGACCAATGTGATTCTATTATACCAGTTCTGATTTTAATTTTGATGATTCCCCTACAAAATCAACAGTTTTTTTTAATGTGTTCACTATCTCTTTTACTTTTGTGTGCCATCTTTGATTTGCTCTCATTTTAAAGACCTTTGCGCAACATTGTACTTTATTTTTATAGCTTAAAAAAACAACTTTCCAGGTTGGGGGAAGGAGAAGTTTGATAATTTAATTCAAGACATGCAGAAATATGTACTGATGTACATATGTACTAATTAATTGATATTATTAATCTAAACGGTGGGTTCTTCCTGTGATGTAATATTCTCTTTTATAAAATTAAGATTAAACAGTTTTATGTCCTTTCTTTACCTAGCTCAGTGGATTGCCATATCAAGGAAAATTTAATTATACCATATACCCAATAACATTTCCAACTGAGAGTGCAGCAGAATGGAAGAAACTATTCAAACCGTGTGCTTCGCAAAGGCTATTCTTACCAGTAAGTTAGCTTATTTCATAATAATAAACTGTTTACAAGTTTGGTTTTTTTTAATCATTTCATCCAGATTTGTTTTTGAATTTACCTAACTTTTGGCTGAAATTGTACAGAGAACTATTTCCAGTAAAAATAATTTGTAAAATTTTCAAAAATACTCCATTTCATTTTTTCCTCTTTAGAAGCAATTTTTTTTTTTATATTCCATTTTCAGTTGCATGGTACACCAGTATGTTAGGCAAGGGGTTCCCAAACTTTTTGACATGGGGACCAGTAAATCAATTCACTAGCTTTTGGAGGGCTGGTAATATTTATTTACACATTTGCATATTCATTAAGCAGATGAATATTCAAATAAGTTGTTTCTGGTCCTCCCAAAGCCCCCAGTGCCAGCTTTAGCAAAGCTTTTGATAGGTCACCCACAATATTCTTGCCAGCAAGTTAAGGGAATATGGATTGCATAAATGGACTGTAAGATGGATAGAAAGCTGGCTAGACCAGGGTTTCCCAAACTTTTTACTTTAGTTAGAACCTGTTTTTTTCAGTACTGTTTTTTGCAGCCCAAAAATATAAACACATAGGAAAAAAAAAAAGAATTAAAAATGAATACATTTTCAGTGTTTCCCCCGGCTGCATCCTCTACCCAGCCTGGGCCAGGGCTATGGGGACCCGGTGCCACACGGGCACTCTAGGTGGGAGCAGGAGCAGATTGGGGGTAGGGTATCTGGCTAGGAGGGAGGGTGCAAGGAGGGGTGGGGTTGCCTGGTGTCCAGTTTTGTACCTGACAGTCCGGTATTTGAGGGTTCTGTCTGGGGAAACAAATTGAGAAAATACCGGACATATAAAATGTCCGGTATTTTCTAATTAGGTAAGTTTTATTATAATTAGGTGTATCAGTCCATAGCTGCGAACTGCCTGGCTGGTAGATGTGCTAACGCATTGTGAGTGTGTCTACCAGCCAGGCAGTTCGCAACTACTCGACAGAGGGTATGGGGGGGAGCAAAATGGAATCCCCAGGGCCGGACTCACTTGTGTGTCCGGGTCTGTGTGCGCCCAGGTCAGTCCCGCTGGCCAATTCGCTCCTTCTCCACCCTTGCTTCTCCTCCCGATCTCCCCCGTGCAGCCCTGCTTCCAGTGGCTACTCAAGGGAGGGTATGTGGAGGGGGGCAAAATGGAATCCTCGGCCAGACTCACTCGTCTGCCAGGGTCTGTAGGGTCTGCATGTGCCCAGGTCAGTTCCGCTCCACCCCCTCCTGATTTCCCCAACCAGCCCTGCTGCCCCCGTCCAGCCCTGCTTCTGGCAGCTGGTTCTCCCATCCTCCTCCTCCTGATCTCCTCCATCCAGCCCCCCCATCCAGCCCTGGTTCCACCGCCTGCCATCCCAAAAACACCTCCTCCCAGCCCACCCCGTTCTGCTCCCCTCCCGGCAGCCACACTGAGGCCCGGTATTTTTTTCTTCGTGGCCTGGTATCAGGCTGCGGCCCATAGTTTGGGAAACACTGTTAGACTGTTCTAAATTAGGTTTCAGTTTCTTTCTATTCTTATTATAGATAAGATAATAAAAGCATGTGTGCATTTGTAAACTGCCTGAAGTAAATCCATTGTTTCATATAAATTTAGAAACTTATTTCCTTCACAGTTAATCCTCAAAGATGTGGATTCGTTGCTGTATGTTGATACTGACATCCTGTTTTTGAGACCTGTTGATGATATTTGGTCTTTTCTGAAAAAATTTAATTCCACACAAATTGCTGCAATGGCACCAGAACACGAGGAACCTCGTATTGGATGGTATAATCGCTTTGCTAGACACCCTTATTATGGAATAACTGGAATAAATTCGGGAGTAATGCTAATGAATATGACACGTATAAGAAGAAAATATTTCAAGGTATGTTGCTGCCTTCGTTGATTTGTCAGCATTCACTTTTTTCATTCAGATTGTCAGGGGAAAATAGTTTCAAATAATGAGCATCAGTTTTGAAAAATAATGCTGTTTTCCAGTATACTTTTCTCTAATTCTGAGATCAGAATATTGCATAAAATAAGTTTTATTTAATAAGCTGATGTTTTCATATTTAGTTGCAACAATGTTTGTTTTACAAAAACCTGAATTTGTGACATTAACCTAAAAACATTTTTGCTGTTTCCTGAATTCTGGCAAAATGTTCACGTTAGTAATTTCTATTTGTTGCAGCAAGTTGCATTTGTCTGCAGATATTTTAATTTATTTTTCAATATACTTATATCTCTCTGAGAACCTAACGTGATTTGTGCAGTTTTTGTTGTATATGGCAAAATTAACGGCAAGTAGACTGTTCAGAGCTTCAAGTGTGCATGCATGGTAATATGACCAGGAGGTGGTGCTACTAGATCACTTACTAAAGCATTGTGACTTCTCTAATGACACATGCTATATTATTTCTTAATTTTAACCTTTACTGTAAAAAAATCACTTGGTTAAATTAAGTATCAATTGAGTTGTTTCAACAACACCTAAATCATTAAAATGGCTTTCTTCTTTTCAACTTTGCTTTTGTACTGTTACCAGTTGTATCAGTACAGAGATTGACTGTTACAGTTGAAACAAGTGAAGAGAGTACATTTTGTTCTGAAAACAATTGTTTACAGTAAATTGTGACTTCAGCCCCATTGTTAATTTCTCATGGACATTCTTGTCAGAATTTTGTTTCATTATTTTTAAGCGGGAGGGTCGGTTAAGGGGGTAGTCCATTTTGGGTAGTCTTAAGTTATAAAAGAGATGTGAAAGTGGTGGGTATTTACTACTTTTTTAACACGTTTCAAGGTATTTTGTTGTCTGTGGACTAGAACTTGGGGACTGGGTGTCAGCAGATCAAGTTTGTTTTTTTAATTGTGCCATTAAAATGCAGTGATAGCATGAACAAGTAGGCTTAGCCTTTTTGTACCTAAACTACCCACCAGGGGCGGATGAGAGTTTTGCGGAGCCCAGGGCAGCACAATATCACGGAGCCCCCCTTTGGAGGAAAAAACAGAAAAAAGGGGTCCCCCCCTGTGCCCACTCCTCCAGTAGACCCACACTGATGATGTGAGCTACCCCCTCCTCATCCCCTCTCCTAACACCTCCCTCTACACCTGCCCTGCCTCTCTCCTCTGGTGCTGGTTCATCCCCTGCAGGTGCCTGCCCTTCTGCTTCACCCCCAGAATCTTCTGGCACCTGCACCCTCCTGGTGCCTCCCCCTTCCCTCACTGCCCCTGCCCCCTTTGCCCTCTTTTTCCCTGATACCCACCCCCTCAGCACCTTCTGCCCCCATTCCCCTCATGCTCCTGTGCCCTCACACATGAATTGCTCCATCTCCACCTTCCTCATGCCCACCCCTTCTTTCAAGCCTTCTCCCAGCACTGTCCCCTTCCCCCTTTAACCCCCAGTGCCCTTATCCTCTCCTCTCCCACTGACACCTTCCCTCCTGCCCTTTTCCTCATTGTCTCCACTTGGCCCCCTGGGATTTGTCTCTCCTGCACCCCTGTCCCTTGGTGCCTCCCCCTTTCCTCGCCTTCTCCTGACCTCCTCTCCTGCCCTCCCCTCCCCTCCCCTCAGCACAAGCTCCTTCCCCATATTTTTCCCTCCCCTCCTCTCCCCAGAGCCCAGCCCAGCCCCTTCCCCTCCCCCAGGGACATCTCTAGGTTTTTTGCTGCCCCAAGCAAAACATCCCCCCCTTTTTTTTTGTCTTACATGTTTGCATTTTGCAATGGTTTTTGTTTGTTTGTTTGTTTTCATTTTTGTCCAGCCCAGGCTCCAGGCCATGTGCCAAACCGTGCGGTGCAACGCTGGGCCACGCAGTTTTAAAGTCGCAGGCTGTGGCATCACGCCACACCGTGCCACGCCTGGGCGTCTCCCCTCTCAGCTGTTGCGCAGCGTTTTAGCACGCCGCGCATGCTCTCCCTCGGCCCCACGTGGCCCGTACTGGCCGGCGCCGGGGAATTTCAAAAATGCGGGGCTGCGGTGCCCCACCACAATCCCGCCCTTTCTCCTCCAGCAGCCACCAGCCAGCCCTTCAACGGATGGCCCACCGGGAAATTCCCGGTATCCTGCCAGGCCAGTCCGCCTCTGGTGCTGGCACAGGGCCTATTGAGGCGTGTGGCCCGGGGCAGCCGCCCCGCTCGCCCTGCCCTATATCTGTCGCTGCTACCCACTCTGATGATAATCACACATAGAATTGACTTGAGCATCTAATTTAATATAGATGTGTAATACAGAAGATTGATGTGTGTGTATATATCTTGAGCACTGAAATGTTGTCTCCTTGTTTGTGAAGGAACGCTGAGTGCATAGAATTAAAGAATCATAGAATAGTAGAACTGGAAGGGACCTCCAATTCCAAAATGGAATTCTGACTTTTTTTCTTCAATAGTTACCAAAAGTTAATCAATCTCTGTTATTAGATTTCAACCATTCAAGAACTCTTAACTTGGTTTGCAAATTCACTGTTGGCCTTTTCCCATCTTCTTATAAAACATCTACTTGCTTAATCAAGGAAGAGACCATTGCATCTGGCATCTTCACAAATGTACTCTTTTCTTTTAATAGAAGACATATCCTCAGTCTCTTCCTTGTAGCCATTAGAATGTTAATTGTGAGGAGTGAAGACTCCTGAGAGCAAAAAGATGGAAGAGTGTTTGAAGAGGCCAGTTCCGTTTAGCTGGTGTTAGCCAAGTTAATGGCCAAGACAAATTAGTGAAAACCCATCAGTGGGAATTCTGATATTTGTGAGGCTTCAGGATCCAGAAGCATAGCTGTCTGTATACAATATAATATCACACAGCTAAATGTCATGGGCTGTAGTGATCTTCACTCAGAATTTGATTGGGAAATGGTCAAGGCTACAACCTGTGACTGGCAGGAGGATTTTGGGAAGGTAAACCTGAGTCCTCCCACTCCCATTGGTTCTGACACAGGGCCGTTTGGGCTACCAGTAATCTGGCCACCAAGGCTGCTTAAGGCTGTCTACCTGGACCACTTTCTCTTGTGCACTCTTGCCTCTATGCCGAGTCATCTTAGTCCAAGGCTTTCTCTTGTTGAGGAAATCTAAGTCAGATTAGTAAGCGGGGGTAAACAAAGTCCAGGGCCTGCAGGTGAGGGAGAGGGAAATAATTCCCTTATTGTTTCTGGGGTAGGTCCTCCATTCTTTCAGGATGGGTCCCTTTGGGCAGCTGTGTCAGATTTTAGGCTTCCCTCTGCTCTGCTATGGACTGCAGTCTGCTCACTTCCAGCTCTGCCCACCCCAATGAGCAGTTTCCCTGTCTTTTAATTCCTCCACTACGTGGAGCATGTGCTGCAGATGTGGCAAGGCAGGGCTGGGTGGGTCCCAAATCCCTTAATCTCTTGTTCCCCAGTGTGGGGTTTATACATCCCATCACATAAGAATAGGGGAATAAGTTATGGTATCTAGGGAGAAAATAGTAATAATGAATAGACCTTGGAGGACACCAGAGCCGGCCCACAACTTTTTGGCACCTGAGGCGAGAAGCTTAAATGACACTCCCATGCCACCTCGCTTGGGCCAAAACTTTGAAAGGTCTCAATTCTGCCTTCTTCCTGTTCTTCTCCTCTCATGGTACTGCTCTGCTACCTACCCCAATAAAGGAGAGCTAAACTTAAAATGCCTTGTTCAAAAATGTTAAATAACACTTACATTTGCTGTTCAGGCATTTGAAAGTTAACTAGTGTAATGCGCATCTAGAGCAGAGAGAATACAGATGCACCAGCAGTAGACACAATTTTCTACACTCAGGGTCCTAGTACAGCCCCCCCCCCCCCCCTTCCCTTCAGTCTGGCACCTGAGGCAGCCGCCTCAGTTGGCCTCATAGTAAGGCCAGCCCTGGAGGGCACGCTAACATTTTGAGATTTAGCTGTTTTACTCTCTCTTTCTCTAGTCAGTACAATAAATTGCATTAAAATAAAGTTTGTTGCACAGAGAAACATTACTTGACTAATGACAGAGTTAAGGCTGCGATCCCAACTTTGCCTATGTTCCTTTACATAGGCATTACTATAGTTTTCAGTTGCAGTGATCTAATTCTTTTTGCAAGGTTCCAGTTAATTTGGTGCAAACAATGGCTAGAGCTTAGTGACTAAGACAACTGTTAAGTATTTATTTTTATCTTCATTCATTCATTATGTGGTCCCATGCCTCATAAATTGTATACCATCCAAACCTGCACTGAATAAGGAAGAGATTCTGCAGAAAAAAAATAGCATGTGACTGTGTAATTGGAAACTGACTAGTAGGACATATGCATAAGAAAGGAAGAATAGAGGTTGAATGAGCAACATTAAATCTTTCCCTTTCTGACTTTTTAAATACCTGATTGTGTAATGTTAATGTACTTTTTATTATAGACATTAATAAAGAAATGTAAAAGAAAAATAGGAAATTATAACAAGTAAAATTTTCTAGACCCCAAGTTAAAACGGTTTTTGTTCAGTATATAAAGTCAGACAAGAGGGGATGTTAAAGCATGGTGGTGTTTTTGAGGGAGGAAAAATGGCGGGGGAGGGGAGATTATACTTTACCTATTCTATACTTTTGACAAACTGCTCAAGTGTTTTTTTTTTTCCTATAAGCATGTGTGTCTTGTAAGGATTTTTATATTGTAAACTCTTTGGGGCAGGATCATCATCATGTCCTACAGTGCCTGCTAAAAGGGTCCCAACCCTGGTTGGAGCTTTAAGTGATAACAAAATTTAAGTAATGAATCCCCATCATCTCCACACTGTATGAAATAAGGTATTTGCAGCCCTCCCTCCTTCACTGTGTGTGGAGTCATGGATCTTATCACATCCACATCTACTAAAAATGAAATTCCACTCAACTTTCTTATACATCAGTAATGTTCCTATCCTCTGTTTGC